CAGTTTGACATTAGCGATTGACGAAATTTTTATTTACGCGTATTTACCGGTATTTACATTCATTTCCAGTATTGACAAGTATTTACACGTATTTACACGTATTGACATTTATTTTGTGTATTGAATCGTATTTTTTTAGCTTTTTGGCTTGTTCTTTCCCCCTAGACTGAATGTTGCTGTTATCCAGATTCAGCGTATCGGTATTCAATTGAATATAGTATCTGTCGTACGCGTCAAGTCGACTTGCTTCGTGCACATTTCTTAAAACATTGACACTATAGTCGGTATGGTTCGTGCATGTATTGAACACACACCATACTGGCGATAGTGCCAATGTTGTTAGAAATGTGCACCGATACCTACGAGACTTACTATACTCAATTGAAACTGAATAGCGACACTCTCTTCACACAAATATAAACACTTGTCGACTTTTTATTGTTTTGCCAAATTTTGTGTGTGTATGTGTGTGTGTTTGGTTTTCAATGAACGTTCACTCCAATGCGGTTGTGACAATTTGATGTTTTCTTTAGTCAGTGCTACAGATAGGCTATAAAATAGCTTGAAATACATTCAATACAATACGTTTTCACCTATTTGATATTTCATAAAGTCAAAAAGGGTAAAAACTTTGCTGTTTTTTTTTGGTAAAATGTCTACCAAGAAGGTAAGAGGTGCAAATGTGAAAAAATGAACTGAACGCAATTACAAATAATAACCAAACACATTTTCACCAAATCGAAAAATATTATTTTTGAAGCAAAAAAACTAAATGTATGTTAAATATAACCAAATCATTTTTTTCTAGAATGACAAGTATTGTTGGGAATGTTTTAAGGGTAAAACTTCTCTGTCGTGCTCCGAATGTTTACGTTCGTTCCACAATAATGGAAAATGTATTTCAAAATATGATTGGGCAATTGCTGATGGAAAATTTATGTGTCCTGTATGTTTTGAGGCACAACAACTAGAACAAAGGGACAAGTAAGTCTTAGTGGAAAGTAAAGTCATCCTCATTATTATTAAACAAAAGTGGCTCCGCCAACAATGATCACACATGATCTTCCGAATGATGGTCAATTTCTTTTTTTTTTCATAATTTTTCATTTTTCAGACAACGTGACTTGGACATGCTTCCAGTGATTATCGATAAAGTGTGGAATAACGAATCGGTATGCCATTATAACGTTTTATTAAATAATTCTAATTTGATTGTCACAAAATCATGATTTATAAAAAAATCCCCAACAAAAAATGTTAGTTCGTCTCGATCATGGACATTCTAAAAGATGGCATCTACCCGGGAGCCGATTCAACGGATGTCATTGTTAATCCAATCAGTTTAACGTCAATCCGCGACAACATCATGAAATACCGCAGTTTTGATGAATTTCTTGCCGACATTCACTGGATCCATCACAACTGCATGATTTTGTATTCAAGTGAGTTTGGCACTTTTCTTCTCATTTTTGTCATATCATATCTTTTCTTTAGAGCACGCATTAAATTAACTGAAATCAAACAATTGTAGAAAATGATGTAAGAACCGAGATGGCCGCTCTGCTCGGCAATAATTTCAAGGAGGAAATCGACAGCTTACAATCATGTTTTGAATGTTATATGAACGCACTCAATCATCCCAATGACTGGTTCACTATGGTGTGCGAGGAACCTCATCTAATAGTTTGGTAATATTTAGCAAATAAAAATATAAAATTATTTAGTAAATAACTATATAACTATTGGAACCGCATCTAATAGGAGCAAGGTTAGAGGTTATCCGTACTGGCCGGGGAAAATAATGTGTGTTGATGTCAACGATATTTATGTGAACTTCTTCGGTGAACACGAAAACGTTATAGTATCGTCTGAAAAGTGTTTTCTTTATTCTGACACAAACCCTGTTCAGCCCGGTTACACTTCGGAACCATATAATTTGGCACTGAAGGTAAGTTGCTCTTTTTGTAGTGTGTAAGGTAAAGAATTGGAATCGGCCGAAAAATTAACACCCATCAAAAATGTGTTTTCTGGGTGTTTCTTCATTACATTCACCAAATTCATGGGCTAGCGTCATCTGTGGTTTCGAAAAGTTGGTAAATGTAATGAAGCAATTGGTAAACTTATTCAACAAATAGTCACTTTTGAAAAATATACCTCAGAGATGTCAAAAATGGTAAATTTAATTTGTTGTTGGTTGATTTCATATTAAATCTACCAAATTTGAATTAAAAATACCATATTTTTTTCTTTCTGTGTGTCGTACTTCTATCGAGATTTATTTTTCACTGCCATACAGACATTATATTGAGATATTTTCAGCCAGATATCGTCAGGTGCTGAAATTGAGTGAAAAAAATAGAAGTGATTGTTATGGTAATAATTACACTTACATTGCTACAATCACTATAACAATCACTTTTATTGTTTTCACTCCATTTCAGCTCCTGACGATATCTGGCTGAGTTGATTCATCGGGCTGAAAATATCTCAATATAATGTCTGCTGCCATTCAAATAATCTCAGGAGAAGTTTCTGTTTGATAATTTATATGCCGTTTGTGACCATTTGACAGGAAGCCCAACAGTATCTCAATAATATCCAGGAAAAGTTTGGCGCATATCATTTGGTCACTGTAAAAACTCCGCTCAATGCGAAGCTGATCGATAAATATATTGTTGATTTCGTTCCTGGAATTGTTCGTCATCGTGAGGCAAAGCGATTGAATGCCACCAAGCGCAAAACCATTTCGATGTTAATCGAATCCAATGATGATTTTGATATGCCAAATCCGAAAAGATCTCGAGGTAATGAAGCAGAAACACCAGGTCCATCCACACTTAACCACAACAATAGTTCGGCTCATGTTTTGTCAATTAAAAGGGAGAATGAAAACAACGATTACACCGAACCGATGTTACAAATGGTATCGAACGAATCGATTCGTTATTTAATTGACAACGGAATGAATGTTAACATTTCACCGCAAAGTTCAATGTCCACCTCGCAAGAAACCTTGAAAAATTCGCTGGAAAATATTCTCAATGTGGTCCAATTGAATGCAAAATTGATGGAAGATTTGAAAAAATCGGAGCAAAGGCTTGAAACTGAAATCAAGTCTTATCAGACCGAGATCAACAATCTGAAACAAGCACATCGAATTGAATTGGCCGGAATAAGAGCTGGACATGAACAGCAGCTACAAAAATTGAATAAAAAATGGGTGGAACGATCGAAAAATCGATTGGGAAAATTTTCTGAAAATATTATGCGCCTTGTAGGTGATCAACAACGTGAAGCAATCAAAAATATTGATGATGATGATGATCTGGACCAGATAGCGGTAGAGTAATGCATAAAACCAAATCCATCAGACATGATCACCTGCCAATTACGTAAGCTATGGTTGAATCGAAACGGTATTAATCATGATATTAGTTTTTAAAGAAGAATTTATTTCATTTTCAGGAAAAAACTTCTACGTTCGACTACTACGTATAAACAAAAAGCTAATTCTCCAAATAATAATGATTATTATTTGATTTTCGAATATTTTGTTTTTCATGCGAGTAACAAAACAACATTCATTCATTTTCTGATTGTTCAAACAATTTTTTCTTGAATAAAAACAAATCCACAAACAGTGGAATAAATCAAATCAATCCTTCTTTCTTAATCATTTTCAATTGAATTCCTACTAAAATGGATCCATTCCTCCTGGGGCATTGAACACACTCAAAATCACATAATTGTCAACGTCCAAACTGTGCGCTCACACATACAAATGCAACAACCGATGCCACTTCCAACGCTCTTACAACGCTATTGGTTGTCTCTATTCTCAAATGACGTAATCTATTGAGCAGTATGATAGACTTAACAATTTTCACAGAAAATCTTTAAAAGCTACACCATTTAGTGTTTTTTAATCACAGCGGAATTCATCAAAAAGTGCGAGAAATACCCTTGATTCAATCAAAGTACGATACCGAGGCTGGAACTGAGAATAATAATTAAAGTCGAACATCACAAAAAAAATGGATTCCAAAAAGGTAAAAAAATCGGATTTTACTCGGACAATCAGAAAAAACGTTTGATCAAATTAAATATTCCGAATGCTTCGTTGCATTTTTAAAATGTACGTAATTGTGAATAATAGTACCAATAAATCTATTTTTTTTTCAAGCACAACAAGTACTGTTGGGTTTGCTGTGGGAAGGAAACATCGCTGTCATGCTCGAAATGTTTACGTGTTTTCCACGAAAAATGCATTGAGAAATACGATTGGGTAATTGTCGGTAACAAATTTCGGTGTTGGGTGTGTTTTAAGGCACAACAACATTATCAAAAGGACAAGTAAGTTTAAGAGCGAATTGTGCGATTTTTTAAAAATAAAATATAACTCAGTCAAGAAGAATATTTTTAGAACCGATTCAAATTTCAAAGAAAATGGCGTCAGTTTTCGAAAAATTACATCAATTTGACTCGTCAATTTCCGAGTCAGTGGCCCATCTAAAAATATTAAGCGCTGATTTTTCGATGGACAGCCATCTTTTTTACTATTACTTTTCCGCACACACCTAGTGTGTAAGGTAAAGTATTGGAATCGGTCGAAAAATTAACACTCTAAAAAATGTGTTTTCTGGGTGTTTTTGGGGCCAGGGAACACGAATCTAGCGTTTTTTCGATGTCCGAATGTATGTGCGTAACCTGTATTGGGGGTGCCGAGGAATAGAAACCATTAGATTTTGAGCGACTTCGGTTGATAGAGTAACGTGTCAAGTCTGGTGTGATGCCCATGACCATCCATGAAAAAAATTCAATTTTTCTTCTAAAAGTGATATTTAATGTATTCCTAAACACTCAAAAATATGTATTTGGGGGTTTTTGGGTACGAGAAAACCGAGTATGACGTTAGTTTTACGATACAAATATATTTCAACACACTTTTCATACACAAAAATTCAAAAAATTTGGATTTTTGTATGGAAGCCATGCCTGTATGATATCGTAATGAGCTGAAACTTTGCACAGGTTATTTTTATCACACAAAAATAACATTCTGGGAGTTTGAAGACATTTCAATGCATATTAGGGGTACCTACCGAACAAAATTTTGGATTTTTCGCTAAAAAACGAAATTTTGTAAATTTTCACATGATTACGATATCATATGGGCATTGATTCCATACAAAAATTCCCATTTTAAGTAATTTTTGTATAAAAAGTGTGTCGAAAATTATTTGTATCGCAAAACTAATGTCAGATTTAGTTTTATCTTGAATTCAAATTTAAGTAAAAGATATGTAATAAATGCATGTTGTGGATCACAGTGCGGAAAAGTTCATCTTACGATGTAAGACATTTTATTTTTTGTAATAATTTAACATTTTTTAGACAAAGCGAATTGGACATGTTACCAGTGGTTATCGACCAAGTTTGGAATGACAAACAGGTAAGCCGTTATAAAGATTTATTGAATAGGGTGGAACATTTTTTGAATTTCGAGGCATATCTTGATGGCCACTTGAGAAAACATGTCTTATAGTCCCCAGATTCAAGATATGAAGGAATTTTCAACTTGCGGTTCCATATAAGACAGCGACTTGAAAGGAAAGGAGGTACATTTTACTGGAAATTCATGAAAAATTGCAGTGACCCAATCACCATGAAAACTTGTGAATCTTGCTTTCTGACCAAAATAAGTAATATCATCAAGTTTCATGAAATTTCAACCAAAAATAAAGGTGCCTCCCATACAAAACTTTTATTTTTTTTCTCAAAAATAAAAAATCGAAAATTTTGTATGAGAGGCACCTTTATTTTTGGTTGAAATTTCATGAAACTTGGTGATACGAGGGCGACTATTTAAGTTTCTTCAATATGTATGTTTTAGTATTGCCCGATGCAAACCATTGTCATATTCGTAAAGTTGGACATTTTTCATGACCATTTGACTTAACAGGACGAATTTTAGTTTTGTGGTATGGCCACGGTGTCAGTTGGAAAAGGTCAACTTCGCAAAAAAATGAAATTTACAAAAAAGATTATTTCTCATAAGTTTTCAAAAAGAGCTGCCTGCTCAACAGTATTACTTCCGACTCAAGTCGGGGTATGGGAAGGAAGTACCATGCCTTGCCACTGTATACAACTGGTTCACTGAATCCCATCGTCATGGTGCTCGCTACAGTGATCAATTGCGCGATGGTCCTTCGAAAATTGATGTCATCGAGAAAAACTCTGGTGCCGATTGAGTTAGGATCGAAGTTTCTTTTACAGTTAAATTGTGGTATGCCCAAGGATCACAGAGACTCCAATCATTTGGTTCTTCCATGAATTACAACATGAAAAAAATAAATCTTTACGTGTCAACCCACAGTTGCTCAAAAATCGATTGATTTTAATCACATCCAAAAAATCATAACCAATTTGACATAGGATAATAAAAACACGTCTATACGATCGCAATAGAAGCCAAGACATGATTCCAGTAGTTTGGACCTGAAACAAAAACTTGGTTGACTCTCTGAGTCTTCAAACATGAACACAATCGAACAAAAGTTGTTCGTTTGTGAAGTGATAGGGAAAATCGGACCTCATTATTTTACAGTGTTATGTGTCATGTTGCTACCATGCCTTAAGAGGATGAAAGGTCCTTCAATGCTGAATAGTACACAACCATTTGATTGTCAAAAGTCATCACGGGAATATGGAGACCAAAACTCTGAAACTTATAATCCCAAAACATGGCAAAAAGAAGCCCATCAAACAGTCGACTATTTGACCACCCAAAAGATCGAATTGATGCACAATACTCCGTGTACGAATTATTCGGGACCCCTCTGTCCACCAGAGACCAAAATCAGTTGGATACAATATATTTTTCGTACTTGAAATTAGGTGCATATTCAAAAAAGTGCACTTTTTGGAGTGTCATGTTTAAGCTGCTGTCGTAGCCATACCACAAAACTAAAATTCGTCCTGTTAAGTCAAATGGTCATGAAAAATGTCCAACTTCACGAATATGACAATGGTTTGCATCGGGCAATACTAAAACATACATATTGAAGAAACTTAAATAGTCGCCTACGTATTACTTATTTTGGTCAGAAAATAAGATTCACAAGTTTTCATGGTGATTGGGTCACTGCAATTTTTCATGATTTTCCAGTAAAATGTACCTCCTTTCCTTTCAAGTAGCTGTCTTATATTGAACCGAAAGTTGAAAATTCCTTCATATCTTGAATCTGGGGACTATAAGACAAGTTTTTCCAAGTGGCCATAAAATTATGCCAAAAATGTTCCACCCTATTATTGAACGATTGATTGATTGTCGATTTCTCCTCTTAGTTCGAATCAATCAAAGACATTCTAAGAGATGGTATCTATCCGGGAGCTTCATCGGGTGTCATTGTTAATCCAATCAGTTTGACATCAATCAGTGACAACATCAAGGCATACCGCAGTTTTGATGAATTTCTCGCCGATATTCAGTGGATCCATCATAACTGCATGATTTTATATTCGAGTTAGTGACGTTCTGTTTCTGTTTTATTTTTCTTTTTTTTATTTATTTGTCTTTCTAACTCCTTTCTCAATCTTTATCGATTGTTTTCCTGGTTGTTTTCAAATGCACTTTTCTATTATCTCATGCAAGTCTCTTTAGCAAATTTCAATTGAATTTATTGATTCTAGAAAAAGATATGAAAACGCATGCTGCCTCTGCGCTCGTCACTTATTTAAGGGATGCAATTGACAGTATACAATCGTGTATTGAATGTTATATGAACGCACTCAATCATCCCAATGACTGGTTCACTATGGTGTGCGATGAACCTCATCTCTTAGGTAATTTTTTTATATTGTATTGGTTTTTAGTAAAAAATAACAGCATAGTTTTTTTAGTTTGGGCAAAAATGAAAGGTTATCCATACTGGCCGGTAAAATTGATGCGAGTCGATGAACAAAAAGTTTTAATACGTTTTTTCGAGGATCATCAAAATGCAAAAATAATGGCCAAGAAAAATTGTTTCTTGTACTCTCACACAAATCCGGCCCCACTTGGCTACATTTCCATTGCATACAAGTCGGCATTGAACGTGAGTTGATGTTGTTTAAGAAACAAGAGTTCCCTTCTAAAGAGTTCTTGTAGTCTTTTGTAAATTTTATTGATAATCGAAATCCTCTTTCTTACCATCTACAGGAAGCTAATACGTACTTGACGAATATCCAGCAAAAGTTTGGCGCATACAATTTGGCCACATCAACAACTCCGCTTAATGTAAATCTGATCAATAAATATATTGTGGATTTTGTTCCTGGAATTGTTCGCCATCGTGAGTCAAAGCGGTCAAACCACACAAAGCGTAAAATCAATGATACGCATTTTGCGACATTTATTAATGCATTGAACTTGATGCCGTCTGATGATCATACGCCAAATCCGAAAAGATCTCGATTCAATGAAGCAGAAATACCACATCCATCCACAATTAACGGCGACAATCGTTCGACCCATGTCCTGTCAATCAAAAAGACTGATGAAAACAACGACTACACCGAACCGGTGCTACAAACGGTCATGAACGAACCAATTCCAAATTTCGTTGGCGGAGAATTGGAAGACTCAGTGAATGTTTCGAACACGGAAGAAATGAATGTTACTATTTCACCGCATATACCCACAGCCACCGTGGAACCGTTGCAACAGTGTGCCGCAGATAAAAGATCGGAAAAGTACGCACAAGATTTGTTATATTTGAAGAAGTATACAGAGTCGGAGGAGAGATGCCAACAATTGACCAAAAAAATGAACGATTTAAAGCTGTGTCATGAAATCGAGATCAAAGCAATTGATGAACACAACAAACGATTGATTCTTCAAGCTGAGCAACGAGAATTGGCCTTGCAAAATCAATTGTTAACGGCGAGAAACCAATACCAATTGACAATTGGTCAAATGAAAGAAGACTACAACCATACGATCACGGCGCTTCGAAATGAAAACAAACGATTGCGACATCAATTATTTGAAAGCACTTGACTGAGACAGTGGGAGCTGATTGGTAATTATTTAAACTTTCACGAGTTTTCTTTGGATTTTGGAAGGTTTTTATTGAAATCGAATGTTTATTTCAGATATGGAGCGGTTCGCGAACAAAAATTAAAATTAGAAAACATCTGGCTGAATAAAGAAAAGCTAGTTTTAAGATAATTTAGTCCGAGACACATGTGACTTAACATAGTTTTGGTTGAGTCTTGACAATTTGGAAAAATAGTCTCTGGAATTAAATCGTTAAGAATAAAACTCATTTAATTTTCAAATTTTTGTAACTAAAGCTGGATACATCCGCAACCAAAATTGAACCAAACATTTTTTGATGTCCAAAACCATGTCATTGTGAGTCATTTTTCATGAGTTAGACCAAAATGTACTCTTCGAAAGAAACGAACATTGGGTAATCAGAATTGACGGTCAGGATGAAATAAAAATTAGGCCATGCAATCAACAGACTTGTTGGCTTATCTTCCACAATGAAAAAAAAAGGTTTCTCTTGCAAAACATATTGGATTGTTTCATAGAATTTGAACCGACTCTATCACCTAAGTTCAAATATATTAACAAAACCGTTGCAGCAAAGCTATATTATTTCAACTTTGTGTTCTCCAAAAGAGGAGATCTACCACATGATGAAACACAACGATATCATGCATTCACAATGGCCCCAAATTCAAATAAACAGCGGCACCGTCATAAAATATGATCTCAATTTGGAAGCAATACACACTTTCGGTGAATTTTTGTCTCTTTTTGAGTCTAATGTCATTGATCGATATATTACTATTCACATAAATTATATTTTATTTCATTGCGGTAAAATTATCAGTATACATCCCATATAAATGCAAAAGAATGCCAATAAATATGAAACAAAACCAAAGAGATATCTCTATGTGAACAAACATGTGATTTAAAACCACACCTTTATCTGCAATATTACCCGATCTAGAAAATATACGTCTGCAACTAAAATTTTACTTGATCTCTAAGTAAAAAAATGAATGAAAAATATTTTCTTCATAATTTTAAGACCTAACGAGAAGATAATATGCATCGCAGTACTTTGAAATCACGGCAAATCAGTCCTATGTGTCATAAAATGCTAAAAAAAATTGTGGCTTTTTTACATTCTCATTTGAGTTAGAGTACTTAAATGTTGACACATTGTAATGGTTTATAACTTAAACTGCAATAAACTCAATTACTGCTTGAGATAACTGAAGTTCATTGTTGCGTTCAATCAGTTTATTTTGAGACATTGAATAGCAAGGTATTCCTTTAATTTTTGTTCGAAGAAAGTGTTGATTTAAAGGCGCCTATTTATTTTTGTAATGACCAGTGAATTTGAAGAAAAAGACGAAAGTCTTCAAAATCCGAATGAAATTAGTACATTTCGACGAGTCATACCTCAGGTGAAAATTAATAAATGAAAATTGCAGCAATTCAATACAACTTAATAATTCATTGAAATTTGAAAGGTACTTGCATCAGCTGCAAAAAGTTTGATCATTCTCAATAAGGGTTTGTATGATGGTTTGGCAGCGATTGCGATTCCATCGATGCTCGGCATAAGCCAAGAACTCAATTCAGACGAAACAATCTCAATCACATCTCTTCAGTCGTCGTGGTTTTGTAATTTCATTCAGATATTCAGCTTAAATATCACGAATTTGATTAATTTTTCTTTAAATAAACAGCCACATTGTCATTAATCGGTCATCCAATTGGGAGTATAGTCAGTGGTCCGATTTGTGATCTACTGGGTCGCCAAAAAACTATGCTCATCATCACAATACCCTAGGGGCTTTTATGTATATGAATATACGAAATATTCACATAATATTCACAATATACACGTCTTATTCATCATATATACGGCATAAATCTCTAGTGAATATTTCGTATTTTCTACTGTATGTTGTGAATATTCACAGTAAGCGACACAGGAACGAAGAAAGTCCGCACTAAAGAGAATGACAAAATATGTATATTTCATATATACAGGAAATATTCACGAAATATTCACGAAATATTCATCAAATTTATGCAATTATACACATTTATTTGTGTATATTCTTTATATACATACAATATTCATTGAATATTCAGCATTATGTTTCAATATTTACTGAAATCGTAGTATTCATTTTAACATAAAAGCCCCTGGACAATACCACTTTTGGCATCATTCACTATGCTTGGACTTTCTCAATCGTTTGAAATTGTTTGCTTCGGATTTTTCCTTCTGGGCTTCATGTTTGGTGTAAAAGACAGTGCAACGTCGATTTACGTTAGTGAAATTAGCGAAACATCTTTTCGAGGTACATTGATGGCGTTGGCACCACTTTCGCATGGTCTTGGTAATGTGCTTGTATATTTAATGGGAACGTTTCTATCTTGGCATCGTGTTGCGTTGATTTGTGCAGCTGTTCCCGTTTTGACGATGATCGCCATAAGTCTTGTTCCCGAATCTCCGAATTGGTTGCTGTCAAAAGATCGTCCAAAAGAAGCTCTAAAAGCAATGCAGTGGCTGAGAGGGTGGGTGTCTCCACAAGCGGTTCAAGAGGAATTTTCAAAATTACAAAATTATAGCGATCAATCCACCGCATGTATTTTGTGTACCAAACAGTCGCTCAAATGTTATCATCCAAAATCGACACTCTCGGACAAAGTCAAAGAATTGACGCGAAAACGAAACATAAAACCATTCATCCTAGTTTTCTTTTTAGATTTATTCATGGAACTATCTAATGCAAAGGTTTGGAGACCGTACATAATTCAAGTACTGAAAGCATACGGAATGCCAGTTGGTGCCAATGTGATGACTGTTATTTTGAGTGTATTGACTTTTTTGGCTCAAATTAGTTTCATGTTAACCGTCAAACGGGTGGGAAAACGACGTATTTATCTCACCACAACGTTCGTCGTGATGCTCAGCTCAATGGGATTATGTATGTTCACTTTTGTTTCCATTCACATTCATATCGCGTCAGTATGTAAAAATGACTTTACTTTTAGATATTTATGGTTTAATTTTCTTTCCATCGAATTGGACGTCGTTTAATCACTCAAATTCACCCGAAGATTTTGAAGCGATTCGACAAAGCGTTGGCAATTTTGGCTATTTCGCATTGGCCTTTCTATTGGTCATGCAATTCTTCAATAACATGGCACTTGCTAATGTGCCCCATGTGGTCTTAGGCGAACTTTTTCCATTCAAGTAAAATTTTACCTATAACTACACATTTGAATCAAAGTTGGTAATTCATTTTTTTTTTCAACTCAACAGATTACGGTCATTTTTGTGCGGTTTAGCTATTGCTTTAAGATTTCTTATTGCGTCATTTGCAACTAAAACGTACTACGACATTGAAATGTGGTTTTCATTGAATGGGGCTACTTTGTTTTATGGACTCACCACTTTAATTGGGTAATTTTTTGGTACAGTGTGAAAAGGCATTGATGATCTTACGAAATTAAATTAATTTCAGATTGATTACAATGTACTTCATTTTACCCGAAACGGAGAATCGATCATTGGAAGACATTGAATTGCATTATTCAGACAATTCAAAGGGAATTGCTGATATCAACATTCGCATCAGCAGCAAAAATATAAATACAACTGAAGAATTATAGAATGAATTAGCAAGAAAGCACCGAAAACACTGAATTAAAGATCATAAATATACATTTTTATTCACAATCTAAATTTTGTTTCATGACTTCAGCTGTGGAATGATTTCCGTTTTCAATTTTTGACATAAATAACAGCAAAATAGACGATCAAAATGCAAAAAATATGATCATTTTCAATATAGTTATATGAACTTGATATGGTACCAAAACTGACCTTCTATCATGGACTATCGTTGTGTCACCTTCGCCATTAATTAATCTTAAGTGGTTTGTCATTTTCAGTCGAGCCCAAAGAGAAACTCAGTATAGTCGGTAGAACCGGAGCTGGAAAGTCTTCGTTGATCAGTTCAATTTTCCGATTGGCAATCGTCGATGGCGATATTATCATAGACGATGTCAACACGTCTTCGATCAATTTGAATGTGCTGCGATCGAGAATATCAATTATACCCCAAGAACCAACTCTTTTCTCAGGCACCCTGCGAAGGTAATTTCAGAAGTTCTGATACCGAACTCAAATAAACACAAAACAATTCTTTTGTAGGAATTTAGATCCATTCGAAGATCATTCAGATGACGACATTCGAAAATGTTGAGCTCAAAGAATTTGTATTGAAGAATAATGGATTGCAAATGCCGGTTCTGGCTCATGGACAGAATTTCAGCACGGGCCAAAGACAAATCTTATGCTTAGCTCGTGCAATTTTGAGAAAAAATCGCATCATTATTCTTGACGAAGCAACAGCAAATGTGGACCTTCGGTAACTCACTTCTTTTTCGTATCACCACTGGTGTCTGTTCTTATAAAATTCAAAGCAAAAGGTTTGCCTTCGTATCTCTTTCAGGTCGGATGAATTGATTCAGAGGACAATAAGAGAGAAATTCGCTAACTCTACTGTATTGACTGTTGCGCATAGAATTAACACAGTCATCGATTCTGATCGCGTATTAGTTATGGATGCTGGCGTTGCCGTTGAGCTCAATGCTCCCTATGTTCTTTTGCAAAACAAAGATGGAGCATTCCGAAAAATGGTCGAAGCGCTCGGACAACAAGAATATGATCGCTTGTATTTAAAAGCCAAGGCAAAATTTGAAAGATCCACATTTTGTGAAAAATAAACACAATCTCTGATCCATATTTTATGTACAATGTTCAAATGCATCTGTTATTTATTCTGTTATGATCAATCGTTTATTTTTGTACTTTTGCTGCTTATGGAAATGTTGATGTCGGTAATTCCTTTTGAATTGTCTGAATAATGCAATTCAATATCTTCTAACGATCGTTTTTCCGTTTCGGGTAACACGAAGTACATTGTTATAAAACTGAATGATAAAATTATTTCTTTTTATAAAAACTATAATTAATTGAATATAAATTAAGTTTAAAAAATACCCGATCAGTGTGATGAGTCCATAAAAGAGAGTGGCTCCTTTCAGTGAAAACCACATTTCAATGTCGTAGTACGTTTTAGTTGCAAGTGACGCAATAAGAAATCTTAAAGCAATAGCTAAACCGCACAAAAACGACCGTAATCTGTTGAGTTGAAAAAAATGAATTACCAACTTTGATTCAAATGTGTAGTTATAGGTAAAATTTTACTTGAATGGAAAAAGTTCGCCTATAACCACATGAGGCACATTAACAAGTGCCATGTTATTGAAGAATTGCATGACCAATAGAAAGGCCAATGCAGAATAACCAAAATTGCCAACGCTTTGTCGAATCGCTTCAAAATCTTCGGGTGAATTTGAGTGATTAAACGACGTCCTCCAATACAAAAAATTATTTTTTTCTCAAAAACAAAAAATCGAAAATTTTGTAAGTGAGGCGCCTTTATTTTTGGTTGAAATTTCATCAAACTTGGTGATATTACTTATTTTGGTCAGAAAATAAGATTCACAAGTTTTCATGGTGATTGGGTCACTGCAATTTTTTTCGATTTTCCAGTAAAATGTACCTCCTTTCCTTTCAAGTAGCTGTCTTATATTGAACCGGAAATTGAAAATTCCTTCATATCTTGAATGTGGGGACTATAAGACATGTTTTCTCAAGTGGCCACCAAATTGTGCCAAAAATGTTCAACCCTATGTTTATGGTATCATAAAAATCTTTCTGGAATTGATAATATGATTTCTAAAACGATTAAGTAAATTAAACCCAATTCTTTGTAGACCTTTTTAATCCACATCATTTAATTGGAAAAATGATAAAAAAAATCAATTCCAACAATAAGGATAAGGTAACAGCATCTTTGAAATATAATTTAAATGTCTCAATAATATGTCTTTTGACATCTGAGTTCTTTTTCGTTTTTTCCTTAAAATTAACTTTGCTTGCTGTCATTTTCAATAAAAAAATCATTCAACAGCAAACTCAAATTTGTATATTTCATTAATTGAGTGAACAAACACAGTGTTATTTTTGCAAACCAAACGAAAAAAAGTGTACAAGTAACACCACCTATGTGTGAATACTCCATTGAAGGGCTTTAAAGTTACAAATCTTAAAATTCATTCTCTTAATTTTACCGATAGGGATTCGGTATATACCGAACCGATATTGTGCATTCATGTCAATACATATTTACCTAAACGTCACACATTTCGTTGGATATAATATAAAGAAAACACGGATTTTTGACGAAGGTACGTACCGTACATTTTCTATATAATAATTTTTAAGAGATTTTTTCACGATCGATACTAGGAATAAATAAACAGCGATTGAATACAGTGTATGAATATTTTTATTGCATTTTTTTTATGTCATAAAACGAATTGATATTGATGGTGATTGAATAGGTCCAGTGGTAGAAAGAAATCCGATTTGTGTGCCGGTTTTTTTTTATTCAAGTAAATATGAAGAAATTCATGAAAAAATATTTTTTTTCTTGACATTTTTAATGATTTATTCCTAATATTTGCATTTAATTCACCAATTTTAGGGTTTCTGGTAAATTTTTCATGTTATTAGTCGATTTCGATTGTCGGTAAAAGTGTAATATCCAAATACTTAAAACGGTGGAGATTTTATAGGTTATATATTACATGGCATAGATCCTTACTCAAGTGAAACTAGTTTTTTTTTTGCTCTGATGTTTTGAAAATCGGTTATGCATAAATTTTCAAAAAATTACTTATTGATATGAAACTTGATTTTTTCGGTATCTGATTCTCTCCGGGGGCTTTTTTCTTCAAACATTTTTTTTCGGACGATGAAAGATTTTGGAGTACTAATCGTCAGCAAAGTACTAAGCACCATCAAATTAAAATTCAACAGATTGAATATTTTATATGATATTGGAAATTAAGAGAGGAAATTCCTTGTAGAAAATAGTAAGAGATCTCTTTTTTGTCATGAAAGTCGAGTTTTGAATATGGAAATAAAATCATTTGGATTAAACGATTGGAATTTTTTTCATGACGACACACGAAATATACAAAATCGATGAACCGAAGACATATTTCAATTTTTTGTGTTAAAAAAACTCGATTACAAAAATCCGAGCAATCATTGGTCATCTGAACAGCAACAAAATAAGTAGGCGTTGTTTTTACAGTATATCGTTTGTTTGAGCCGACCTTATTCTACGCGCATTAATTTCGTTCATGTACTGATTCTCTAATCTTCGGAAAATTTCGATTTTTGTACAGAACATTTCTTGTCATATAATTTTGGTACTTATTCGCGCCCTTTTTCAAAAAATATTTTGGAGATATTCGTTGCCGTTGTTCAAAGGTCGATCTTTGTGACCAAAGTCTCCAAATAATTTCCGCACGCCATCAATTTTAGGTCTTCGTTATGATTTTATTGACAGGGCTGTCGTCGGATTTTTCCTAGCATCGCAAATCTGTTAGCATACCAAAAAAAACTACGTTTTTCACAAATAAGCAACCAGTTTAGTGTGAGAAGACTAACGATCAAAATTTCTTTTTTTGGTTTTACATAAAAACAGATCATTGATAAATCAACGGTTGAAGTAAAAGTAAAGCTGAAAACAAGGGTAAACAGATACAGTATCACAGGCGATTGCGAGAATATAAAGTGTTCCGATCAAAAGTCAAGACAAAGCACGAAAACAGCAACTGATTTATAAATAAAAATGGTATCAATTGACGGAATTGATGTCAAGTTAGAGCCAATTGATGTCGATGACTTAGAAATCGTCATGTCAAACAGACGAGCCGGTTCATTATCTTTCAAAAATGCACCAAATATACAGTCATTGTTAACAATGAGCAATGAATTGCGAGCTCAAGAGCGTTCATTGTCCCCTCAACGCTTGATGAATACAAAACATTGGATGGAAGAAGTGAGCGATTTAACCGCACTTCTAGTACGTCAAACACACGAAACGTTGGAGCATATTAAAAATGATTTTACCAAAAAGAACATAAAATTCAACAATGAATTTCGAAATCATTTCTTTTACATTGTCAACAATCGGTAAGCAAAATGATATGTTTTGCTATTTTTTTCATTTCAAAATTTCTGAAAAACTTACACACATGTTTTGGTGAAAATAATTGTTGTTTATTTTTTCTAAACAAATTTCGTCTTTCCCCTGCCAGATTGAGAGAAGCATATGACTCATTCTTGATTGAATTGCCACGAGAAATGAGGTCTGAAGAAATGGTTGTCCATAAGCCGCCCACAATAGTGCTAAAAGCCCGATCTGACACACACAAAGATAAAGCATTAAATCCGCCATCGAAACGACAACGCATCGACAATGAGACAATGAATGAAAGTGTTCGCATTACAAAGAATGTAACAAACACAAATCCAAAAATTGATAAAACACAAATAATCGAGCAGAAAATGGTGTCGAAAGTAATGCAAACATCGACATCAGTAACGAAAACCTCGACAAATTCAATGACCCAATGTAATCGATACAGCATATCGAATAAGTTTGCGAATCTACGATCTGTTGACGAAATCCAAAAGTCACAACAATTGAATCGAAGTTTGGAGAAGGCAAAAAGTAATTTGGAAGAGGCAAATAAGCGTTTGATTTTGGTTGAAACGAACAAATCAATGTCTGGAATACAGCGACGAAAATCGGTTGGTGCCCCTCTGATGTATGGTAACACGAATCAACCCATCAAATGTATGACCATTTCAGTAAAGCAAACGGCAAATAAATGTCAAAACAATGATATAGCGACCAAAATCCAGCCGAACAAAGTTGTGGCACGAAGAAAAACGTTCGCCGTTAAAGATTTGGTGACAAACAACAAAAAACCGAACAACGATAATGGGAAAAAACCACAAAAACAGACGATCAAATTGGCCGTATCGCCAGTGAAAGAAATGGCTTCGGTGTCAGTGAAGAAAGATACGGCTCCATTGTCAAACGGTGTTTACAATACCAGAAGTCGTCGCAGTAATCGTAAAAGTTTTGGAGGCGCTTTCACTTGTGATGAATGCGACTATTCCAGCGATGTTCGAACCAATTTACAGCGTCACATGCGAAATCATACCGGTGAACGGCCTTTCAAGTGCAAGCATTGTGCGAAAGATTTTCTACAAAAGGTGAACCTTAAGTCACACATGAAAGCTAACCACCACGAACATCATTTCGATCCAGCGTATTGGAAAGCAGTTGAATAACATTTACATGACTTTTTTTCCCATTTGGAAACCAGACTTGTAAGAAATGTTAGACATAATTCATTTTTTTTTTATAGAATTGATTCATTTTTATTATGCCTCTCATTTTGGAGAAATTTATATGGAACCGACACCACCGAAACATTTTATTCAGACATTTTTGATATAGCTAATTTTTATTTGTAACTTTTTCATATTTTAATGGATAATCCAGTACAATTTACGATTTTTACACTTGAAAGGGATAATTAATTCTGATTTTTTCCAAATTTGAAGGAATTTTTTTAAAAATTGATTTGTTAATTTTGAAAGAAATTAAAATCCAAAATTAAATAAAGACAAAACAAGCAAAGGCAAATAGTATGGTTATTTTATTGCTGACGATGATCAGCATCGTCTATTCACTTTATTGGTATTTCATTTTTTGCATATTTTGTGTTTGAAAATTTCTATAGAAAACATTCAATCTATATTTTTACGGTATTTTATCTTATAGCTTGAAGAGTGTCAAACAATAAGAACATTAATTGAAAGGAATCACTAATGAAATCCGAAAAAAAAACACAACATGACGGCAAAAAATCAGCACGTTTAAAAAAAACCTAATTGCTAGAATAAATGACTCATTTTTTTCCATTGTTATGAGCGTTAAATGTGTTGCATCTAAATTGTTTACGGGGCGAGTGGGGAGAATCTAATGATGTATTAATATGTTGTACCTAAATTAATTGAAATTAAGAGGAACATTTAGGCTTGGTGGAGGGAAAATTTAAAGGCGGAAGGAAAGAATGAAAAATGGTTAAACATTTTTTAAATTATACTTTTCATTGTAACTAGATAAAACATACAACATTTGTAACATTTGTTTTGTATCAAAAAATAAAATGAATATCTTAAATAAAATGACTGTTTTTAATTTTACTCTTTTTTTTAACGGAAAAAACAGCGATCGCCATTTTTATACTTGAGCTGTCAACCAAATCGTTGAGATCGAAAGCGAATTGAGACCGGCGGAAGAAAAGAAAGTCCAGCAAGAGATCGAATGGTGCAAATTTAAAGAAATATCTTGAAACAAATTTTTATACCAGCAAACCACACCGAAAAGTTTTTAAAAACATTTTTGATTAAAAGTAATCAAGTAATTAACTCATTTCTCACTAAGCAAGTAGTAAATTTTGCGAGTGCGTCACTTTTTGTTATATCAACATTTCTCCTTTCATTCAGATGTGCACCACTCCCTTTTAATCTCTTAAAAAAAAATGATTGAATATAATAAAGCTATAAAAAAATTTTAATTTACTCAATAGTTAGTTAAAAACATAGATCTCGTATATTTTTTTAGTCAAACTAAGTCAACTTAAGTCAACTCTTCAAAGTGATCCAGTGTAGTGCTTATTCAATGCCAAACTATAAGTACGAATTTGTAAACAGATAATAGAAACCATATCTGGTATACACACACGTTTATACGAAAGTTATCACTTGAACTGTTACCAACACGATATGATTAGACAATTTTTAGCGTATTGATAAGACATTTTTGTGATTAGTCTTGTTTAGATGTTTGATTTGAATATAGTGCCAAATAACTGTGTGACTTGCTCATTGGATCATGTGAGTGAATTTGAGTAATTCAGTAATTTTTCAATAATTTTCAATCATAAAAGATTGAAGTGAAAGTTTTTAAAAAATTTCTACAGAAATAAGAGTAATCGCAGTGTCCAAATTCTTCTCAACTCTTCATACAATCTGGTATCGTGTTTATTCCTTAACTAATATTTCACTGCCAATTTTAAATCACATTTTTCAATTTCAAATGCGATTTTTTTCGCAAATCTCAATTACAATCTTATCTTAAATAAGGTAACAGAAACAAATGGAGTCTGCCCATAGGAAATTATTAAAAAATCCGCGTAAATCAGCGAGTTGGATGTCAGTTTTATTTTTCGGATGGACAATACCGCTTTTCAAGCAGAGTTATCAGCGTGACGCGTTACATCCAAATGATGTGTTTGAACCGCTCGAGGAAGATCAATCGGATAGACTTGGTGATCGACTGGAAACGTATAACTTTTATTTTTTTTAATTGGGCCAAATAATAAAAAGTTAATAACAATTTCAGAAATTGGAAGTCTGAACTGAAACTACAATCATGTCCGTTGTTACTAAGATCAATGTTTAAAACATTCTGGCACGAATTGCTATTATTGGGAGTTTTGTACTTCTTTCAACATTGCGTGTGCCGCCCAATATATCCATTTTTATTGAAGGGATTCTTGTCATATTTTCGGTGAGTATTACAAGAAAATAGTTATTCATATTGAACTGTGAATTATTATTATTTCATATTTGATAATCCACAGGGACAATTCTGAAGTATCATTTCATGAAGCAAGAAATTATGGAGTTGGGCTTTTCATTCTAAGCATTTGCACTGGAATCATCACATTCCAATATATATATTATAGATATTACAGTGGTATGAAAGTTCGCGTCGCCATTAGTAGTGTTATTTATCGAAAGGTAAAGGTGTTGACCGGTCAAAACGAACTAGGTTTCAATTAAACAATTTCATCTCTCTTTGATCAATTGTCACAGGCACTGCGTTTGTCACAGAGTGCTTTGAGCAAAACATCTTCTGCAAAATTAGTGAATTTGCTCTCAAATGATGTTCAACGATTTGAATGTATATCCCAAAATGAATTATGGGTACCACCGGCAGCATCAATGGTGGCAACATATATTTTATGGAATGAAATTGGTTGGGCTGCCATCAT